GAGCTTCTGTAAAAAGCTGGCTGCAGTTCGCCATCTTGGCTCCGCCCCCCGACAGTCCTGATTTCTAACAATTTGTCCTGCATCCCACGGTGTTTTAAAAAAGTCCCGATTTTTGGAAAGAATGAACAACAAGCTAGGGAACGGCGGGAGAACGGGAAGGGAATATTTGGTTTTTGGCTGCCATGTGGCTATTTCACCAGGATATGAGTTTTATATTATTTTTGTTAATTTTATAATGTTAAACTTTAATAATAACAAATAATTTCTGAAAATGATCTTCTTAATGAGGTATCATTATTAAAAAAATATATTGATAAGGAAAAGGTTAAATCCTTGGCATCAGCAAAAATCACAATAGAGAACAAATGGTTAGAAATATTTCATCATTTTGAAACAAACCATGTTCCATACAATAATGCACTAAAAATTGTGGAATACCTGCTGTCCTTACCAGGAACCAATGCTGCGATTGAATGTGTTTTTTTCTACAGTAAATAAAGTGTGGACATCAGAAAAATCACAATTAAGTGTTGAGACTTTGAAAGCCATTTTAGTGTGAAATATAATTTAACATATTCTTGTGAAAAATTTCATGACCTTTTAAACGACAGCAATCTACTAAAAAAATTCACTCAAATGAGAAATATGCCAAAGAATAAAATAATACTATACATAATTTTTTTAATGTATTATATTTGTAAATTGTACTTATGTTGAAATTTAAAAAATATATATTACAATACTATTTTTGCATTCTATGAAAATTTTTGTTGCTCCATATAGACCAAATTTTTAATTAAGAACCTCACCCACCCCAACCCCACCCCCAGTCAATGGTGTCCCGCTTTACCAATGTTAAAATCTGGTCACCTTAGTATAGTCTCATCTGTTGTAATGTCCTACTCTCCTCATTTTGGTCAGGCCATGGAGTAGCACGTGCTCACTACAAGGCTCTGTACCTTGCCAATATGAGTCCTGTGGTGGGTACTGACCAGAGTTGACCTTTGCCTAGAAGTCTGAGCATTTCATCAAGAGACAAGGCAGGGAGATACTGCTAAAGAAAGGTACATGGACTTCATGCCTTAAAAAATTTTTACTCTTATCAGGGATATACAGTGTACACATTAAGAAAGTCCCCCCAATTTTAAAGCACTTTGAAAGTTTGCAGCTAAAAGGACATTCATGCAAATAAAGGCCAAGAAGAAACCACATACTCTGTAGGATATCAACAGAAGAGGGATAAAGTCATTTGGCATATCTCTGTGCAATCTTCAGGTCCTCAATGTAAAAGATATTGATATAAATGTGGATGAAAACTTGCCTTTTTCAGGGGTGTATTTCTTCACCTTCAGCATGATGAAGCATGAGGATGTTGAAGAAGTGTACGTGTACCTTATGCACAATGGCAACACAGTCTTCAGCATGTACAGGTGGGTGGCCTCCTCTGTCACAGGTCTCACCGAAGCTGCCATCAGTTGCTCAAAGAATGCCCAATGACAGGAAGTGTGTAGGAATCAGCAGAGCCAGGCATGGCCCCTGTCCTCAATGAAAGTACTCATATACAATATATGGTTACTTGCTAATCATTACTGTTTGGGGAGAAATAAATCTGATAAGCTCGAGTATTAAAAGGGTGATAAGAGGCCTTGACTTGACAACTAGCAGTGTTCCCCATAGCCAATCCCTTGGATTCTTTTCTCATTACTTTTTCCCCCTCTCTCTGCCATTTCCTCTGCTTTCCCACTCTCCTGTGCCCTTTTCCCAAGGCTTAGGTGTGGTTCTATTGATGGCATGTGTTCTGGGCTGGCAGGTTTAGAGAGCTGGGAGTCCACCCCTTGCTTCATGTGTGCTGCTACTCTGATCCTATCAACCTAGCCCTAGAGCTCCTTGGGGAACAAATGTTTTAAAAATAAATGTTGCGCTTTGCTCTGACCTAGGCTTAGGATATGGCAGAAAGGCAGAAAGCCAACACCTTTCTCAACACCGCAAACGGGCTGGGAGTTACCACTGAAGCACTTTATGGCTGTTGCCTTTTTCCTGTTTCCCCGTTATTTTTGAGCCTGGCCTGAATGAGAAAGTATAAAAAAAAGAAAAGAAAAGAAAAGTTACAGTAGGTGAAGTTGCTGCATCTGAGAGATCCAGCATATTGTGGCCCAAACTCACTAGAAGTAGACTTTCTTGACTAGTCCAGAGTGCAAGTTCTGGGCTGAGGAAGGATAAGGGGTGGTAGGGGAGGGTGAAGGAGGGGACTGCGTGGAGGTGGGAAGGGGGTTTGTTCTTCCTGGCTTTTAAGGAACCCAGGCTGATGAAAGTAGCTCTGCCATGTATAAAATTGACTTCTAAGTTCTCTCTGATCATTGTCATTGCCAGGGTCAAAAGGAGGAAAGAATAACAGTGTGTGAAATTTTTTTGCATTGGGCATTCTGTTCAGAGAACATAGTTCCCCCACCCCTGACCAACCAATGCAAGAGTGTCAAGGAAATGTAATGTAGTTCCTATGGGAGAGGAAAGGGGATTTGGGTGAACAGCCAGTCTTCTCTGCCCCTCTGGCCTCTAAATATCTATTGAACTTGTCTTCCTACATTCAGACTACATGTCTCCTCATCTCCGTCCCCCTGGGAAATAGCCAAAACCACAACTAACACACCCAGCTCAAAGCCCAGAATCAGGCAATGAACAGCCCTTTTCATCAAATTGATCCCTTGGCTGTTTTTCTCCTTGGTCCCTGACTGTGTCCTCTCGGAGGGTCTTCCTTGGCTATTCTCTCCGTGGCCACATCTAAAAGGTGAGCAGGCCCTCCTTGGGCTTCTTTCATAGTCCACTTCCTCCTTGTGCACATCTGAGGGCAAGTCATGCATCCCAAGCCTTTCTTAGATCAGTTTTGGGCCTTTCATAATTCTATGTATCACTTCCTCAGAGAGTTAGCAGAAATTTATTCTTTTTGCTATCAGTCAGTTATTATTAAAGCACACAAAACCCAATGTACTTTTCTTGACAGATAGTTTTTCAGCCTCTTAGTTCTTTGATTCCTTATTTCTATGCCCTTCTCTCAGTTCATTGGTGGTCATCACAAGGCTTTCTAAAACAGTAGATTTGGGTAGAAAGACAACATTTTTAATTCATTAGAATGTGCCATCCCTGTGTCTATCTGACTGAACGAGAAGTCTTTATGGGGAAATACCATCTTTGCCTCTGCTCTTCCAGGTGTGAAAGTGCTTGGCTTTTCCAACCCTGTGATGCTCCAACTATCTAGATTCTGCTTCAAACATGTCAGCTCCAGTCTAAGCTCATATTTGTAGGAACATCTTTTTAAAAGCAGCAAAGAGTATTTTGGCTTTTCCAATCCTTCCCTGACTTACTGTATAGGTAAGAGGCCTATCTTCCAAGTCACCATATTTTCTCAAATGTTTTGCCACAGCATAACATGGGTCTTCTGCTTTCCAGCCCACAGTGGTAGCTTCCTCATTGCTCCCTGTCTGACCATTAGCCAATGCAACATATTTTCATCTGGGTTATGGCAGCACACTTCTTTAGTACCAGATTCTGGACCAGGAAGCTAAGCTGCTGTGACAAAGATCCAGCACAATGGCTCAAACATAATACAACTTTCTTCTCATCAAACAGCTCAGGGTAGATGTTTCCATTTGGGCCAGAGGAGGGAGTATTCTTTTCTATATAGTCTTCAAGAGCCTAGACTTCAACATATAGCTTCCAAGGTCGTTCTGGTCATTGTCCTTAACATTCCAGACAGTCATAAGGAAGAAGGAACAAGGAAGGGTGTTTGTGAGTGATTGGTCAGCCCTAGAAGTGGCACGTATCATTTCCATTCACATACCATTTAAGTAACTTAATTGCAGGATTATACTTAGATGCATGAGAAAAGAAGAGCAAGGATTTGATGATGAGCTGACTGTCCACTACAAAGACTAAAGCGTTTGTGCCTCTTTTCTTCTCCAGTTATGAAACAAAGGGGAAGTCAGATACATCCAGCAACCATGCTGTACTGAAGCTAGCCAAAGGAGATGAAGTTTGGCTGAGAATGGGCAATGGCGCTCTCCATGGGGACCACCAGCGCTTCTCCACATTTGCAGGCTTCCTGCTCTTTGAAACTAAGTAAATGTAGGAGGAGAATAGCTCCACTTTGGGGAAGACTTGTAGCTGAGCTGGTATAGTTATGATCTGAGGAACATTAATTAAAGGTGAGGGGGTTACATGCTGTTTTTAAAACAAGTATTAGTTACATTGATAGCCATGCTACAGGTATATCAATAATGTTGGACGACTCAGGGGCTCCGAAGAATAAACCACAAAACAGTCTTCCCAGATGACCTTGACTAATATACTCAGTATCTTCATCATGCTTCCCTAGACATCTGAGAGAGAATTCTCCTGTGACACAGTTTGTAGATAATTGTTCCCATCAGGGAAGTCATTTGCCAAGAGTTTTGGCTGCTTTGTTTTTAATTTAATACCAGCTTTCAGGACCCCCTGAAGTTTTAAGTTCTTCATTCTTTATAACCCTTTGGAGAAGGGGGTGCAGTGATCATGAGGGACTGGGATGAGAACAGGTGCACTTGCCTGGACCTAGGCACCAGAAATATTTGTAAAGCTTAAACTGGGAAATAACTTTGATCCAGTGGGTCAATATTCATAAATAAAACAGATTTTTTTCTTTCTTTCTTTCTTTCTTTCTTTTTTTTTTTTTTTTTAGTAATTCTGGATAGCTCTTAGATAGTGAAAATATTTACAATGCTCACAAATAATTGGCTCCTCCGTTTTTAAATAAAGAAACTTCTGTAATTAAATCTTGACTTTCAGTGGCTTGCGTTTCAGAAATAGGATTTTCTCATGATCCAGAATTGGATTTATTAGATCTGGCTTATATGATTGACTTTTTGCCGCTGTTTTTTTTTTTTTGAATAACAGTCAATCTTTGTTGACTGTGGCTTGTGGAACCAGCTGAGGTCGGCTGAGGTTCATCTAAAACAGACACAGGTGTAGTCACTTTCATTTCTTTACATTTGGAATTACCCCAGTATGTTGGTACTCCACACACACTATTTCACATTGACGGGGCTATGAACTAAATTATATACATTCAAACTAACACAATGTAAAACATAAGGGTATTTCATTGAAGAAACATACGAGGAAATGTCTTAAACTTTTATTCAATAAAAAATATGACTTCCCTGATAAACGTATTTGTTCAATATTCACGGAGCAGCTTGTTTGTAATAGGAGATGCCACTTGGGTCTCTACCCCAAAATCTATTCTCAAAGGATTAAATTTGCCACCAAAAGGATATTCAAGGACATTCATGAGAAATGAAGCATACGTTCTGAAGCTAGTCTCCAAAGCTGATACCCCTGCGTTGGTTTATTTTAGGCAAAGAAAGCATCATTGGAATATGTGTTCACCCTGATGTTGAATCATATTTAAAATGTACTAGATAATTTCAGTTTAGCACTTTAAAAGTATAATAAAAAATGCACTAGAGAGATGCCTAGTGCATTCATATTATGAATTCCCTTGAAATACTGAGCCCTTAATTTGTTTTCTATTACAATTTGAATTTCCATATACACTTTTAAACTATGGGTTTACTTGTATTGATTATCCCTAATCCTAGAGGCAGAGACAACAAATTAGGGCTTCCCTAATCGCTAATTCCATGCCTCCATTCCTTTGACCCACCAATATTTTTAAACTCTTCTCGAATCCACATATGATACTGTTTGAAAGTGAATAGATATGACATTAGTGCTTGACCTAATGATTAGTGACCTATTGCATTAGTGCTTGACCTAAATAATTCTGTACATGCCCCCATGTGCCCTGGACTTTGGGATCGTGAGGTTGAGGTTTACTATTACCAAATGTTGTAAATATTTTGTAGAAGTGAATAGATGTTTGCCAATAGATGTTTGAATCTTGCATGTGGACCAAAGGGATTTTATATCTGAAGAACTCACACTACTATTAAGTGCCTTAGAAGAAGACTTTTGAGCTGGGTTTAGATAATACTGCGACAACAAAACCGTAATAAGCAATATATGGAAATAAATCCAAGTTTGTTAAATGCACTGTTTTTTGATGTTTTTAATAAAGTTTAATGGTCGTATATGTGGAAGTCACTATGGTTAACACAAAGTTAAAATATTTTATGCACGTGATGTGAACAACCATGCAAATCTGCAGGCAGAGAGCAAGGTTATCTGTCTCCACAAAACTTTACTTTTCAGTTATTCCATTGATAACTTCAACCTGACAAGACATTGATGTTTAGAGGATCCCCTAATGAAATCTGAATATCTTTGAGGGGAGGGAGTTTTCATTACACCCCTGAAGTCTTTGTATATATTCATGCTTAAATTCTCATTTTCACCTTCAAGATGCCAAAGGATTGGGTTGTAGGCAAAGGGGAAGTATCTTGGGCTTGCAAATAAGCTCCAGGTGTGAGAAAAAGGGATCACTCATAGGGAGATGGGAGAGGCAGAAGATGATTTTCAATGGTTTCACAATTTTATCAGAATTATATCTGGCTGATTTCACAATTGTCCCTAAAAGTGAGGTGCTAAAAAGAAGACAAGTAGGTGTGAGTGTCACAGGAAATGTAATCAATGAAGCAACTTTTAGATTCTAAATCTTAAACAGAAGCAACCTGCAAATGAAGCAGAAGCATGTGGGTTTCTGATTACTGCAGAATGCAAAAACTATGTAGAAGTATTTCATGTCATGATCAGCATGGGTGAATTTTTCCAGGTAAAGAAGTAGATATTTCCAGTCAAATATCTACACTTGAGCTTTGACAATGAATAAATTATGTGGAAGGAATTTTACTGACCTTATCATGAATAAAAGCTGAAGCAAAAAATAACAATTCAAAGGATGGAATATGCAAATATAAACTCCAGAGGATGGGGCTGGAATTGATAAACATGTACTTTTATGTCAGATACTGTGCTATTTCAAGTGCTACTATGGCATTTAAAGGACAGTTCTTACCTTCCCTGAGATTTCAACCTAACAGAGGACAATAGGTAAAAGGGACGTGGATATAGACTAGGTATGTGGATGATATCGTGTAAATATGATTGTTTTAACAGCCATAGAAGGAATTCATAGGGGGAGAGATAATATCCAGTCAAGGGCATTAAAAAAGCTTGTGGAGAAGGGGGTCTTTGATGGTCAGAGACAATGTCTTGTTATGCTATGTTTGGAGTATTATATTTTTAAAAAATCTTGTTCTTTTCTGATTATAATAAAAATAGTCACTATGGAAAACTTAGAAAATACATAAAAGTATTTGGCATAGAAATTACACTAAATTAATCATCCCATCAAATGTTAAATAACATTAGCATTTTGAAGTGTTTATTTCAGTCTTTCTCTTCATATATTTATGACTTTTAGTCTTAAGCATAGTAATAAAACAAACCATTGGACATTAGTCAATTAGACCAAGTTTAACATTAACTTTTTATGTATTTTTGTATCTCGCTCTCTGGTTGGCCTAGTATATTAACAGGACACTCAAATGCTATTAAGGGTCATCTGTAAACATAATTTTAATGGTTGCATAATTTATTTAACTTTTCTGTTTTGGAAAGTATTTTTGCTATTACAAGTATTTTTTCCCTATTACATATAATGTGTCATGATCATTCTTTTTAAAAGAAAATAACAACAACTGTGTGCATATAATTAGTTTCCTTAATTAAATTTCTAGAAGTGGAATTATTTGGTTAAAAAGTCTAGACATTTGAAAAGCTTTTAATAATGTAAAAAAACCCAAAAAACCAACTGGGGACTTTGGTAAGGAAAGATTTGTTTCAAAAGGAGTATTCTGATTGGGGAAAGAAACTATTGGAAGAGGCAGAAGGCACTGAGATCTATGAGTTTCATGAGACCATGACTTCTGCAGCTCAGAGGTCAGGAAGTTCAGAAATGGGCTTTTTAAAAATAGGGTGACATAAAGGAGGCTAGAAAGAACCAGGGGTTCTTTGATAAAGTTTATAACCAGACATTCTTTTGGGCCACGTGATTCAGTATTTTTTTCTGATGACTACTTCCCCAGTAACAGAATATCTATCAATGAACCAACAGTTACTCTGGGTTTGAACCTCTGGAACCAATGACCTCTGTTTCTAAGCTAACATATTAAGAGGACTCTCTTAATGAAGAGGGGATGAGTGACAGGCAGGAAGGGACAGAGGACCAGAAACTGCTTTTCCTTGAGGCCAACCAGTTCTCCAGAGTGGCCAGTAAGAAGCAGTCCTTCTGTCTTTCAGTGCCCAAGGGGGCCAAAGCTGAGGGGCCTGGGTGAAGGAGAGAAATCTTACTAGAGTTTGGCCAACTCAAGTGAGCTTTCATTTTGTTCAGATTAAACAGTCCAACAAACAGGTCAACAAAGTGAGATAAAAGAAAGTGAGAATTCAGAAGTCTGTATCTGGCTTTGTCCTAGGCTAACAAAACAAATTTTGAATCATAAAAGGAAGAGTGATTCTTTGCACCAAGTCAAATGTTCCCCAGAAAAAAAGGGGTGGCAGGATTTCTTAAGTTACTTTGTTCCAGGAACACAGTGCTCTGATAACATTCAGCATTTCTAATAAATATTGCTGAATGCCCTCGCCCAAATCTTCACTCCTGCCAGCATTATTTGAGAATGTCCAAAATACTGCAGATAGGGTATTTTGAGTCATCATAATGAGATGCCAGGTGTTTTGTGCAGGGAAAAATAGTATGGAAAATGACAGAGCTGGGGACCTGCAAGGATCTGTATGAACAGTGTACCGTGCAATCTGCCTGGAGTTAATTGCTCATGAGAGCTGAGGCAGATAAGACTAGAATGAGGGGTCAGAATAAATGTCATTGGATTTTGATGCCAAGGTGCATCAAAGGCCTGCACTTAAATTAGCAGCTAAGGAGTCACCGGTAATTTGTGTTCAATGGTTTGATTAATCACAGCAGTGTTTTAGGAAGATCAATCTGTTGAAAAATGGGGGATTTGGCTCGGCGCCTATAGCTCAACCGGCTAAGGCGCCAGCCACGTACACCTAAGGTGGTGGGTTCGAATCCCCAGCCCGGACCCGCCAAAACAACAATGACGGCTGCAACCAAAAAATAGCCGGGCGTTGTGGCGGGCGCCTGTGGTCCCAGCTACTTGGGAGGCTGAGGCAGGAGACTCGCTTGAGCCCAGGAGTTGGAGGTTGCTGTGAGCTGTAATGCCACAGCACTCTACCCAGGGGGACAGCTTGAGGCTCTGTCTCAAAAAAAAAAAAAAAAAAAGAAAAATGGGGGATTTTGCGGGGGTCACATTTGCCTTCCTCTGGAGACAAGAATCATGTCAACCTTAAAAACAACTAGGAAGCTCTCTTCTCTTCTCCTCCGCTCTCTCTTCTCCTCACTTTCCTCTTCGCTCTCCTCTTTTTCTCTCTTTCTCTCCCCTTTTCTCTCCTCCTTGGTGCTGCTCCGTAGCCTCCTTCCCCCACCAATAAAGACCTTTCGTAGAAGGGTAGAAGAAAAAAAACAGCTAGGAAAAGTTATTTCTAAATACGCTGAGTTTACTTGGGAATAGAAAAAAGGATTATAATTGGAATGCACATATGGCAAACCACTAGTGCATTAAGGTAGGGAAGTTAAGGGGAGATTTTATTAGCAAAAAGAGACTTA